GGAATGCAAAGGCGGCTGCAGGTACCGGAATGCATACACAATACGTGCTTAAAATAACATATGCCATGCATTTACTCAGAGCTTACAGGCCTCAATTTCAAATAATGTGTGTGATATAAATATTGTGGCAGTTGAAAATAATAGTAAGCTACTCACATTCAGGTAAATAATATATTTTCAATTAAAAATTGTGAAATTTGACTACAAAAGTCAGTGTTCCTGCCAGTCTCGTAACATTCATATCATAGTCAGAAAATAATTTGATTCATGATGAAATGTTTAGCTGCTTGCATCTTAGGCAACTGTACAACGGCATTAAACACACTTACCATATGGACAGGGCTGTTTCTTATGCTCCGGAATGATGGGTCTTTTTCTAAGAAAATTCTCCAGACTTGGCCCATGTCGACCCAATGGATCATCAGGAGGCATAAACCTAAGAGATTTTTTTCCCAGATTATTATTATTATTATTTTCATAAAGAGGAAAAAGAGCAAATTGAAGTATACTGAAAACACTGAAATTTAGATTTGTGTTCAACACTCATATTCCTCATAATACCAGATTCAATAGACTTACTTATCATTTACAAAGGAGTACATCAGAAGGCGTTCATCAATACATTTTTTCCATTCCGGTTTCTCAACAGCCAAGTCTCTGTAGTTGTCATTGGAGACAATAATGCCATCTGATTCATAAGCTAGCTTAACAATAAACCTGTCATCATAGCAGACTACTCTGCGGCCCTGGACACGACGTGATGGTGTAAATACAAGAATCTTATCCTTTTCCAGACGTCTCAAAATCTCCTGATCTGTAAGGGGGAAAAAATTTGTTTGATTGGTAGATATAGTTAGTCACAGGCTGTGATACATGTTTTCTATTAACTGCGATAAAAAAAATAACTATTGAAAAAAAAAAAATCAGATACCATTAAAAGTATTTACCTAATATAACCTAACAAGGAAAATATTCACAGACAAGTTTAAATAACATTTGTTCAGTTGATGGCCTGATGGCAAATCTTTTCACCTGTAATAAGAGCATCAGGACGGGACTGTTCTTTCCTCCAGGCTGGGACAAAAACTGTAATGTCTCGATGGCCACGTTCAAGAAACCAGTCAACTGCGAGCTGAATGCCTTGACAGGAGAACATCTCCTTATTGCCATGGCTGTAAAAATGAGAAAGTTATAATTAAAAATAAACAACTGTAACTGTAAATACATAATAAACTTTAAATAAAGTGAATTCACTGTTGGTTTTTTTATTCGAAATTTAGCAAAGCAAATAGTTTGTACACATTTACACACACACAATTTTCACATACTGTATGTGTGTATGTACGTAATTGTAAATATATTAATACTCAGCATAAATGAGTACAGCCACTTTGAAGCTTTTTTCACAACTGAACAATTTCTTATTACCTAAAAGAATTTCTTATTATTACACAAAGCAAAGAAGTTCTAGAGGCCAGGATCATAAAAGTCATTAGGTCTGACCATTCAATGGTGTTTCCATGGTGAGGGATTAAAGTACTGTCAATAAATGGAAACATGAAGAGTCTCAAATCTTCTCGTGCATTGTATGGTTAAGATCATACAAATTGTGTGTTGTATTCATAGGGGCTGATCACATAGGTGTGTCATGGTCATAGTGCCACCAGCTGACATTTAACTTCTACATTTACCCATTTAAATGGATGTGCCCTTGACAAAAAATGAAAATAATAAATAAATAAATAAAATTAAAGAATCTTCTCAAAGAATTTTGATCTATTCATTTTTTTTTAGCAGATACGATCTGACATATTTGTTGGTTGTGGCCCATTATGACTAATATGCCTATTAGGGGTGTGGACCTACACTGGTCTCACGGTTCGGTTTGGTTACGATTATCATGTCATCGATTCGATATCACGATGCATTACAATGCATTGACAATGCACTGCAATCTCAATTTTACTTCACATTTATAAAATTTTGTCAATAAATACAAGCAGTCAGATACATGAACTGTACCTGACCTGGTTTCTTAAGTTAGTGGTATTACCCCCTGCTAGTGATGTGACATTTGAACCGAGGCATCGGAGCTTGTGTCGAGAATTACTTATTCTTTTATTAAATCATATTGATATTCGTACTGGTATTAAATTGCACTGTTTAATGGGTAAATTAATTTATCAGAGACAGAAATTCAACAAACACAAACTGTTAGGCTTTTATTTGTGCACGTAACTTCAATTCGATCTGTGGAATATGTCAGAGGAAAGCCTCAGTGCTTCACGAGGCTTCATTTGCCCATCCCTACCCCCTACATATTATATGTGCACGTAACTTGAATCGATCTGTGGAATATGTGGTAGATGCCTCGTCCTACGGGAGCGTCTTTCACAGGCTTTTGGCTGCTATATTTTTTATTAACCACCAGATGGCGCTGTTTTCGAGACAGTCGAAGCTTTGAATCTTTTCCCGAACCAGTCAGTAGAAAGCCTCAGTGCTTCACTAGGCTTCATTTGTCCATCCCTACCCCCTACATATTTAATTGTGCGTGACATGATTTACACACAGCGTGTGTCTTCTCCAGGTCGTGCTCAGGTTGTTCATAAAAGCCGAAATGTGGACAGATGTCGGCTTTTA